TCCTTGAAAAAGCAGTAAAACAATATTTTGACCTTGAGTGGACCATTTTAGGAAATCATACATCAAACAAAAAATTAACAGTCTGTTATGGATATATTAAAATTCTTAAGAAATAGAAATTAACAACTAAATATATTATATGATGAAAAAAAAATTATTGATTGAATATCTGTGTCTTAATCCTGAGAAATTCAGGCTTAAAAACAATTGTCTATAGCTAACCGTGCTAGTGCTAGACTTTTAATCTTAGTGATAGTGTAAAATGCGTTCCATGTACTCTTTACATCCATTCATTATTTAATCCTAATTATTAATTTTTTAAGTCGAATTAACATTTTATAGATAAAATTGACGCTTTTGTTTGACGTACATTATTTTACCGCATTGAAATTCAGTCTTTTGTACTAAAGATGTGAGTCTCATGCTGTTCGCATTGCAGCAAAACTGTAGCACTTCACGTAATTATTTAAAAAAAAGTTTTTGTCATGCTGTTAAAACTTGATCTGCACTAATAACAACGTGAAACAAAGTAATTATAATTTTTCTTTACGATTTTAATGATTTGTTTTCACCGAACCATGTAAATAGAATTATTATTGTAATATTTGTAAAAAATAAGATAACCTAAATGAGATTTAACATAAAATTACATTTGATAAAGTTTCTATGTCCTTGAGGAAGGTGTTTTACAGGCTTTTATAATTGTTAAAAGAACCCTAATTTTACGGTTTTAAACAATTTGAAAAAAATTTTTTTATAAATTAAGCAAAACTGTTTAAAGTGACATTTAGTTATGATATTAAGTCCTTAAGTTGATGCTTTTTACAGGGTTTGATACAAGCTAAGAAAAGTTAAATCCAAATTTTAAATAAATCGAACAGTTTCTTAATAAACCTAAGTATATGTATAAGCTTTTTTTTATAAGAATTCAATTAATTTTCTTAATTGCTGTATAAATCTGTAAGAAATTATGTTTCCTGCTCGTACTTGATACCAACATTAAAGTATTGAAGAGAAAAAGGTAATCCTAAACTTTCTCGTAGCCATTACAATAAATTTATTACATTCACAAAAATAAATTATTATTCTTACTTTGGAATGACAAGTAGGGGGAGACTGGGTACGGTTGTGCCAACTTTTACTTGAGAGCTCGCAACTTTAAAAGTATGACACTTAGTGGGATGAAAATTGCTGGGCATGATAAATTGAAGACTTCTCTACATGTGTGTACAAAAATTATGACTACAAGTACAGCTGCTCACACGAAAGAGCTGTTAAAAAAAAAGAAAAAAATATGTTACAATTAACCACACCCCAGGGGCGGTTGTAACAATGCCTGGGGACGGTTGTGACAAGTTAAAAAAATACATTAAAATCATTTTAAATCACTTTTATTTTATTTTATGTTTAACATAATGTAACAGCTCCTTCTTTTTGAAAAATTTAACATTCATTTTTAATTGAAGGCATTAAATTTGAAACATTTTATGTCTTATATCTACTTTTAAATTGTGTCATTTATTATTACAGATATTACATACCCAAAGTATATATCCGTGCTACGTAGTAGGTATTTTGACAACCGCTGTTCCTGCTTCTTATAAAATACTTTATTAAGAGCAACACAACCTGTACTGACGCTGCCTCCGTTATTCCCGTTCGCATTGGTTGCATCACGTTACGAATGTATCGCAATAATGTCATGTGATTTACTTGGTGCATTTCTGCAGCTTTTTGTACAGAAATTCCCTGCTTTGTATCATTGTATGCCTTTCAACATTACGCGCACCTCTTCCCGTTCTCCTGGAACATTCACGAGGCATTTGAAAAGAAAAAAACTAGTTTTACTTGTGTCACAAGCGTACCCAGGCAGTATGTCATAACCGTATCCACTGCACTCATTTGAAAAAAAAAAAAATTACAATGTAAACACAACATAGCTTACATGAAAAGTAACCACTGCCTTTTATGCACTAATGTGTATCTTATAACAGGGAAAAATACTCACTGCTCGATCTGTACATATACAGTGATAATTGCAAAAAAAAAAATTTATGAAACTTCTTACATATGACTCCCCAAAAAAGTAATAGGCCTCTGCTGTCGTTGATATCAGGCGATAGCTGAGGCTACACTGTAAAGCACAAGTTGCCCAGCACTCCACTCCTCCCCCCTCTTGTCTTATGTGGTTCTCTCTTACAGTTTCGCCAATAGGACCACTGTTACAACCGTCCCTTGGCACAACCGTACCCAGTCTCCCCCTAGGTCATGTTTAAATAAAATTTGTTAACAAAAGAGGTTGTGAAATCAATTACTACATTTATTATTGGCTAATGTATTGACTGATATGGAATGATGTTATTTATACAATTATGAAATGTTAACTAACCAAATTGGTTACCAAGGCAATAAATGTAATATACAAAATGAAAAAAAAAGTTTGTTTTAGACATATCTTAGAAGGATGTAAATTATTTTCCGGGTGTTAAATCCACTCTGACCATGTGAATAAAATATTCAACAAGGGATCTTTTGGATCAGGTTCAAATCCCTTTTGTAGATGTAGGGGATGCTTTCTTTTTGTTTTTACTATTTACATTAGCTGTTCTAACATCTTTCATGCAAAAAGAAATTTTGAAATTAAAGGGGTCAAAAGTTATACATATTTTTTTTTTAAACGTCAGAAATTTGCTTGATATCAGGATACAATACAATGCAGCAAATTGTGCAAATCTTATACAACATCCTATAAGATTTCGTGTAAGATATCTTGTAATATCTCTTGCACGATATAGTGCAGAAATTTTTTTACGGGTTGAAGCGACTGTATATGCAAAATGATACCTTTTTACGAAACCATTCAAGATTGTTAATCTTATCAATAGTTGTTTTATGCACAGAATTGAGAATCTTATTAAATAAACTTGCTCAAGTCAACTCAACTAATTAAGCACTTTAATTTCACCCTGATTTCTAGCTGATTTATTTATGACAAGAAAGTTCATTTTAAGCTGTATGCTGACCTGATTTCACAGATAACTACGTTGATCGCTGCCAAGAACAGAATTCCACTTGAGCATGCGTATGTTTAACCGTTTTATGCTAGTTGTGCTCGATGGTAATAATCAGGCTTGTAGACAAGTTATGAGAAGCTTACAACTCAGCTTTGATCTGTATGATATGTTTGGTATACAGAAAGACTATCTGCGTAGTAAATAATACTTAGATTTTAAGAGAAAATTTTGGTGAATTAAGGTTAGAATAGGTGATATACTTCGTACAGTAGTTGAACACACTATAAATAATTCTTAATAAATGATATTATTCTTGGTACACACACTTGTGCTTCAATTACGAAACTCATGTTGAATAAGATATGTTTTGTATTAATAAACGGTTACACCAGGTTATAATACCAATATAACATTTATTTGCTCACTCAAAACTATACACACACACATACGCGCGCGCGCGCGCGCACGCACGCACGTGTGTGTTAAGTTAGCACAGTTAATGGCTACAATGTATGCACATTATCTTACGGGAAGTAACCCACAACGCTAATATCTAACTTACTGATTATCATATTCCATAACTATGAGCTAAAATCATAATTATTCATACATAAATGCATAACGCAAAAATCTGTGACAGATTACTGCAATGTTATTTTTTTTATAAAAATTAATTTTCGACCAACATTTATCTATAATAAAATTTATATTATTTCGAACTATATTGAACGGAAATACGATTTTCTGAATATTAACAAAAAAGTATTCTCAAAACATTGTCGAATCTCTTACTTTATGAAACAATAAAAATGATTATGGGACTATTATGAAATTTTTCAATTGATACTAATAGGTTCACTAAAGAACTAATTCACAACACTCAAAAGTACATAATGGCAGATGTAAAAGTAATCAGGTATTGTTTTAACAAATTTTATATAAACGTTATCGTTATAGTTTTTTTACTGATTTGAAAAAATACTTTTATTTCTTGGCTCTTTTGAAACAAAAAGCTGTTGTTTTTTTTAACTTTAGTTATTCCTTACTCAAAAATTGTAGTAATCAGGTATAGATATTCTTAGGATTTTTTTAATTTAAATAGGCCTAAGAATAAAAAAAATGGTTTTTTTCAGATTAACACAAGAATTGTAAAGTAATTGTTTATTAAAAACTTATTCAAAAATACCTGACTACGTTTTCGTCTGGTAACATGCGCTTTTAGATAAATAGACACATTCTGAACAAAATGAAATAAAAAAATTTAATCTAAATAATTTTTGCTCGTGAATGTCTGATTGGCCCCAGACTATATTGTTTTTCATATTTCAACAAAAAGCATATACATACATAGGTCTTAATGTTATAGTTAAAACAACCTTTCGAAAAAGACATTAAAATCTAATAATATCTTTGTCTAAGATTTGAATTATTGTTTGTAGGACTAAGCTTGATTTATTGACAACTTTGCAATGTATTCATTTTTGTATTTTATAAATTTAAACACCAAAAAAACTTATTTTTGTAAGTTTCCATGATGAATAAAATGTATTTAATAAAATAAATAAAATAGTTCATAAAACAGAAAAGTTATCGAGAGTAAAAAAGTTTTTTTTAATGAGATGTATTGACATAAAAATCAAATTACTAAAACAGTAAGTAACCAAGAGACAAACAAGTATAAAGTGTATATGTATTGTACTATAATCGAATGAAAGTTGCAGCCATGAACAGTAAAAGTGAAAGAGTCCACGAGAAAAAAGTACATTCTCAACGACTCACAGCTCATTCTATAACACGTTGTCAGAGTCTTAGTATTCCATTACTAGCAATTAATTTTTTTTTTGTCTTTTTTTTTTTTATCGGGCCATAACGATTCAATTAAACTATTTTTTTCCGTGCATTATAAATAGTCTGACAATGGCTATTTCATATACCACAATTGAGGGTACAATTGGAAAGAAATTAGATAAGATGTTCGGTGTAAAGTACAGCTTCTTAAGAGTCAAACCAGGTGATTGTTTATTGCCACCTCAGTATGTTTTTATTGGTTCAAGAATACGCGATCTTGAGGTTCATGATAGTGATGTCTGGATGGTGTCATACCCAAGAACAGGTGAGTGGTATAACATACATTTTATCTTAATTGTAACCATTAAAAATTTTTTATAATAATAATGAATAAANATTATAATAATAATAATGTCAATTACTATAAGAATATTAATAAAAAACTATGATGATAATAATAATAATAATAAAAATGACAGAAATAATTAACTGATAAGAAAAATTTCAGTCAGATAAAGATTTAAATAAAATACTAAAATACGTTTTCATGTAATGTTTGAGTAAGAAGCATGAATATCAACCACATGTCTAGTTTTTAGCCCTTTGTCTTTGAACTCATGACCAAGTACCTATCAAAATCAAAATACTTTGAATAAACTTCAAGAGCTCTGACCCTGACTAGAAGTGAATTCAAGATATTTTTACGAGATTCAAATCAAACTTGATAAAATATTTTGTAAACTAAAAAGAATTTAATGATTAAAAAATTTAATTTTGAGGTCAGACATTTCAATCTTAATGTCGAAGGTTCAAAAGTTTATTATGAAATATTTATCTCACGATTTTACTTGGTGTCTAGAATCATTTGGAAATAGGAGCATCAGTTTACTAACATTTTTATTTTATTCATTGGCTTCCAATTTAACTATTATTCATGCTAAGTTACACTATTGCATCGTATTACGCAGGACGAGTATAACCACTTCAAGCTAAAATTGGTTTATTTTGGGACATTAAAAGTATTTGCCAAAAAGTTATGTTAAAATCAAAAAGGAATACACTTTTTATCTTACTGCAGTTTGTTTAATGTTTGAATGGATACTAACAGTGTATTTTTGCGCATTCTTTTAAGGTAGCTCAAGTAGGTATTATCGTATCTATAACTGAATATCAATAACCCATGATTTTCAAGTAAATCGTTAATAAAATGTGAGCACAAGTTGTAATAAAAGATTTTTTTTATTTCTTTACAAAAATATATTATTTACAAATAAACATTTAAAAAATTTAACAAAGTGTTAGGCCCGTAAACGTACTGGATACATTAGTGTCCTAAAAAGGATATTTATATACAACGTATACGTAGAGTAGATCCAAGGTTAGAGTATCGCACGGCTTAGCTGCAGCGTTGCCGCTTTTCTACGAAATGTGCATATATCTTTTACACTCTTGCATGTAGTTGGCTGATATCCAATTTTTTTTTGTTAGTAATTTTATTATTTCAATCCTTAATATGTACTGATTTAAATGTTATTGTGTTCCCCGTAAAAAACCATGTCTCACAGTTTTTTCAAACATATTTATACATTTTAATTGGAGTGTGACTAATTTGATTATACTTTTTTATAAGTGGTTTTATACAACGTGTACTGCATGCACAACCTCAAAACTTTTCACGGAATTCTAATCGTCAACATAACATTTTTTGGCATCATTTTAAAGATAAGAGTTTATACGATGTGACTCTACAATGTCAGCTTTAAATATATATGTGTGCACATAAGTTTTTGCACGCAGCCCCTTTAAGCCACCTTAATGTAACTAGTCCTCCTAATCAAAACTTCTGTAGGTTTTACATTATAAATAAAAAATTCTTATTTACTTAATCTATAAGTTATCTTAATAGTAATAAAGGTTGACAACTAAATATGAAATAATGAATATGCGTGCACATACGCATAATATATTTTTTTTCTCATACTAACGTTCCTACCTTATATTTTTCGGTGAGTACTTAAAAAAAAAAAAACAGTCTTATAAGATAAAAGAATTGGGCAGCTAAAAACGAGCGAGCTTATTATTCTTCTAACGAACAACAACGGAACTCAGATTATTACAATAAACATGACGAGGATTCAAGGATTAAAAAAAAAAGCAGAACCCTTGGATGTCTTATAAAAAATGCAGCTCGTAGATATCTTGTAGAGATAAACAGAGCAAAGATGTATAAAAAATTCTATGGTTAGAATGCACTTTATTGGATGATTAAGGACACTTGCTCCGCCATTCATAATATTATTTACTAAAAGAGTCCAAAACTTTAGAATGCAGATCCTTCAGAATAAAATAACAACCTGTGGACTTCTCACAAAAATTATTACAGAAACTACTCTCATAAGAATTAATGCACCTTATGCATTCTTCATAAAGAGTATATGGTCTAGATAAAAGAATCCTACAGATACAACTTTTTTTTTATCACTCAGTGAGTTTCAACCACTAAATTAATTTTTAGTCAATGCACTGCTTATTCAGAAAAAAATTTCATCCATTACTTAACAAAAAAAATAACATTTTATGTACAATACTTTACTTCAGTAATATTATCTAAACTCAGTAGTTTTTAAAATCTTTTTAGAGTGCATTAATCATAAACAGAAAAAAATAGATTTTCACTTCTTATAGTAACCATTCGTTAATAATAAAGGCAAAAGTGTAAAATATATTTTTTTTAGTAAAGTTGTTCATTTTTGTGACAGCTTTTATTTTTATAAGATTAACAGTATTTATTTCTTAATGATTATTAAATTCAGAAATATAAATGTAGCTTGTCATCCCACAAAGAATGTCGTACGATTCTTCCATTCTTCAATAACAATTATTATGTATCAGGATAGCTTAGAATAATTAAGGTATTATTATTTTTGTATTTAAAAAAAAAAAAAAGAAAAAAATTGTGTACACTTAATCAGAAGCCTTAAGAGAATCTTTACTGGGGCCTATCTTGGCTGCCGACTTACCCTACATTCGGCAAACCTCTGCAAAAGTGGAACCTGAACAAAGCACATTGACGTTGCTTAAGGTAGGCCCTACCTTAGCTGCCAATTTATCCTACAAGGTATGGCTAGCTTAGAAAATTTCTGTATCCAAAAAAAAAACAATAAAATGCAAATTGAATGTTATAAAATATTATTTTATTTGACAAAAAAAAAGTTTCTTGAACCAAGGTTGTTACTGTATGTTTCTGTCTTTATTTATTTCTTTGTGATTAATAGATGTTAGTAAGTTCAAGTTTACCTTTCTATTTATAAGTATTCCCGTGTATAAGTTGTAATCGACCAAGAAATACAGAGGGTTTCTTGGCCACAGGTACAAAGCATGGGGGTAGTTAATAGTGCTATCTCCAGGCCATTCTTCTCACCCTATCTTTTCAGAGAGATAAAGAAGGCTACGCAGTGTTGAATTAGTGTTTCAAACACTGGTATTTAGACATTTTGTAGCGTATATATGGTGTTATCCTGTTCTTTTTTGTTTTTCGGTTGCCATGCTCATTCGAGATAGCAACGCGATGTTTTGTCTAACTTTTTCTACAGACCCCTTTCAGCTTTTAAAGAATTAAAACGTGTCTCTTATTATGCAAATATTTTCTATCTAATGAACTGAACGTTTGTTTAAAAATCGAGTTTTGATTTTGAAATCATTGATTATACAATTCAAAAATATTATTAATTACGATGAAGAGCCTTCTTGAAGACGTTCTTGTGCTCGTTTAATTCAGAACAAAAATTCATCCTTACGCTAACCGTCATTGCCATTACACAGAATTTTGCGTAGAGTAAATTCCCACGAAGTTAATACCAGTAACGATTCTTTGGAGGTTTGGTCTCATCTTAATTTTTTTAATGATGATATCAATTTTAACACAATTCATTCTTATGGCAAAGCATGTAACAGTTGACTCTATGACTGCCGTCAAAATTAGAGCAGATTTGTCCTTTTTTAAAACTGGCTTGCACACAATTGGTCATTCAGATCCCACAGCCTTTGTTAATAAGAAGGCTAGCTTTTCAATTGTAAGTTCCACTGATCTCTTTAACCTTTAAAATGTTATGGTTATTGAAAACCTCGGTCTGTCATCGCAAACATTAACAAAGAATTTATCAGAACTTTTCAAATCTAAAACTAGCATTTTCATATACCCTTATTCTGCATCTTTCAATTCGTTATTAGGTCAAGACTACATTAATCTCATCATTGGCAAAGAATTTATTAAAATTTTCAAAAATTCTTTATACATGTCAAATTGTTTTCTGGGCTAGTCAATTTATGCGGTGGGGTCTGGTAATGACTCAAATTCTTCGGTTTGTAATTCCATTTCTCTTGAATCCCCACTCAACCTTGTGAAGAAATATTTTACTATCGATGATGTAGAAGCAAAAAAATCTATGCAGAATCATGATGATAGCCGAGCGTTAAAAATACTACAAGAGACAAGCCATTATGTGAGCGGTATCTGGGAACTAGGTCTTTTGTGGAAAAAACATCTCATAAGATATTCCTGACAGTCGTATAAATGCTTTGAATCGCTTACATTGTTTGGAGTAAAAACTTGACAGTGATCATTTTTACGCTAAAATTTACTACAAAGAAATGCATAGACTTTTTGAGCTTGGTTTTGCGGAAAAAGCCAAAGCGTTACCTGATTAACTCTTACGGTATTTATCTTATTTTGGATTGAACAATCCGAATAAACCAGGACGAGTCCACCTGGCTTTCGATGCCGCAGCAAAGTCTAGTTCAGTGAGTTTTAACGATCTTATGCTTAGGGGTCCAGACTGGTTGGAAAATCTTGTGGGAGTTTTAATGCATTTCAGAGAGGATTCAGCCGCTCACAAAGTAGACATGAAAGATATATTTTCGAAAATTAAAATAAGAAAAGAAGATAGAGGTGCGGAAAGATTTTTGTGGAGGGGAAGAGATCACTCAAGTACCCCTCAAGAATACATAATGTTCTCTTTACTTTTTTTGTGTAAAATCATCCCCAGCAACTGCGCTTTTTATAAAAAACAAAAACGCGAGATTATTTTAAAAGTTATCTCCAAAAACAGCAGAAAGCATATTAAAGAATTCTTACATGGACGATTTTTTAGACAGTACAGATTCATTTTTGGAGGCTGAAAAACAAATAAACGAGGTTATACGTATAAATAAATTATCTAATTGGGATAGGTATGGTTGGGCTTTCAATGAACCTACAGTATTGAAGTCCGTTGATAATTTTTAGCAAAACTCAGTCGATATAGGTTTATCTGATGATAGAAAAGA